AATTTTTGATCAACCCGGCAAAACAAATCTGACACAAGATATGAAAAATACGAGAAATGTGAATATTACAAGAAAACCGATACTTAAACCTGTCTTGGAATACTAATTAAAAAAGTTAGGAAGGCGATTTTATATATAACTTTGTCCTCTAATCCTAACCCTTACACTAACCTTATCGGTTGCACGCGGAAAATTTAGAGGAACAGAGTCACATGTCCACCAGGCTTAATCAACTCCCATATGTGATTTTGCTATGTTCGCTTTAATGGTACCATGATCACTATAAGTTTACCGAATGTTCGACGAGATGGATCGGATGACTCGTGTAAGCATTAAATTGAGGCCACGTTCTGCTGCACCAATGCATCTCATACTTGTTCAAAGAAAAGATATTAGTAGTTTATTAATTAAAATAGCAACAAATAAATAAAAGTGTTTTATCAATGATGAATTCTTCCAGGATCCAATCGAACTTGGATGATTTTGAATCCTCTTCCTTCACTAAAATAATATTTTCAACAGGAACTCAGGTGCATCATCATATCTAAATACAGTCAACGGTCTCATAACTTGATATTCGCGGGTACAATTACCAAATTTTGTTGTCGAAGTAAATAAATTTTGGTTTTTAGGATCAGATTTTTTCACCACCAAACGCAACGTGGATCACCTGATCCCAAAATCTTTGAATTGAAGCCTCGATATTTGTGGTTCTGTCATTGCGAATGCTGATCTAATTTTATCACAGAGTAATGGAACTAACCAACGTGACTTTTGTGCTGATTACTTGGCTACTCCAATATACCTGTATCTGCTCTGAACAATTTGATAGATTAGTACCTTCTGGGTAATCTTTTGACAAGAATAAATTCCATAATCCCAACGATTGCACTTTTTTCTTTAATTTTTCCATAATCTGATTTCACAAGAGAAAATTATTTATTTTATTCTAAATAAATCAACTTTCATCTTTTTCACCTTTATCAAGTTGCTCGTAATAAGCGCTTCCGATAGAATGCAATTATTATTACATGTATTGTATAACTAATGATTTAGATCAATTCGATAAAAATATAGAGCATAAAATTATTATTTTTCATGACGAAACCATCCAATTTCTCGATCAAATCTTTGGCACGCGGAGAAAGTTTATCATCAATCAATCAATGATGGTATTATATAAACCATTTTCTTTCGCAATAGAGTGATACGTGTAAACTTTATCGTTATCCTAATTATTTATCGTTATGTACAGTACATCGAACATACTATTACTGGGTTGGAGATAATTTCGTTGATCTCGCAATTTGGTAAGCTTGCCTGGCTCGATTCCGGTAGTCTATTTTATTTGCGCAAAAATTATATTTTAATTTCTGTTTTTATTTCGCTTTTGTTTCCTATTTTTTTTTAATTCTCTCAAATTCTCTCTTAAATTCTCTCTTAAACAATAGTGTACATTATGTGTTAAATTCTAGAATAATACTTCGCAATGTAATCAAAAAGATGTATAGTCCTCATAGAGATTAATAAAAATTCAGAATTAACTGTATATAATTCTTCTCCAAGTAATTGAGACTTATAAAATCGTTGTAATTGATTGTGGTTAGGACCTTTGATCCAGAAAAGGCGTTGTTATTGTTAACGGCATATTGACTGATTAAAAAGTGCTTTGTTGTTGAATAGTTTAAGGCTTTTAGCTAGAAAAAGCAACGATTGAAATTTAATACTGAAGATATTACTGATAGAGAACCTGTCATATAAAGAAATCATACATAAAACCTGAACCATCCAAATTCTCGTCTGAAACCCTCTCGACCGTTATACTAAATAATATCGGCACAGGAATTAGAAACTAACGAATATTACTCAGTCTATTCACTCTCCCCCAACCCATTGTTGCAAAAAAATTATCGATTACGTCTAATCATGATCCACTCACGACAATATATACACGTGAGCATTAGAGAAAGAACCATCGAATCATTTTGTATCATTTTTAGAACGCAAGGCTTTGTGTTTTTTATGTGTTTTGTTAATAATTAATTTGAGAATTCGTTATAATATTCCTTTGTTAACATTGTATCATTATGTATGTATGCGATTATATACTATGTTAAATGGCAACTGATATTTTATTGAAATATTGAATTACATAAAATTTTTAGCAATGTTATCAAGTTTCCATTATCTGATATTTTGACATTTCAAAAAAGAGATTAAAATTCCGTATTGAAACTACGTTAAATATAATTATCATACCTGGCCTGGTAGACACAGATAAACTTCCAGACATGATTTTTAAGGAAAACTTGTACAATAAGCTGGATTCTTGCCAGTATTTAGAAGTGAAAATCCCAATGATAAATTATTCTTTTAGTATTTTTAATCAAAAAATAAACGTTCTAATGATTTGGTATATTGAAAAAAATTCAGGTAATGATAATTTTAGTGAAATTATCAATAACCTAATTCCTCTTTTTTCTTTCTTCTCTTCCGTAGCAAGTTTACTTGCAGAACATGATTCTTTCTCAGGTTTTTACAGAAAAACAAAGAAAATGACGAATTATCCACATAGTAGGCATCAGGATTCTCATATTGTCTATGGTAAAAATATTTTACATAATAGTAATTTCTAGCAATTGAATATTAACATATTTCAAAATTATTGTGGTGGACCAGGTCAATGGGTATTCTCAGACTATGGTGCATAAAATCTAAAGTTATCAAACATTTGTATTTTATAAACTTCTTTACAAAGAAGTAAATACAAAATTTAATCCGTGAATATGATAGAATAAGCTTTTTCTGAGCATATTCACGGATTAAATTTTGTATTTACTTCTTTGTAAAGAAGTTTATCCATTTTATAAAATACAAACGTTTGATGATTTAGATTTTATGCACCATACGCAATCAATTCAATTTTATTTATAATATATTCTCTCTTTGTAAAAAAAAAAAGCCTTTTTTGGTGTTGGTTTTTTCAATTTGACTGGACAGACAAAAGTTGAGAATGAAACTCAAGTTAGTATTTTTTTTCCTTTTTTCAAGCATTTATAAAGTGCGAGTGGATGGTATGGTATGGTATAGTACGATTATACAAGATCAAAATAATCGTTGCATCAAATTTAGCACAGGCAAACATTAATAAATTATGTTATAAAAATTTCACCTTTGTCACGTATCGATATTAATTGTTGATTTTCACAATTACGATCAGTTGCATTAGGTTTATCGGTTAAAATGGTGCATTTTGTTGTGTACATATAACAATAATAATAACACCAAATAAAATTTCTATTTATATTAAACTATCACATCTACATAACGATAAAACCAGTGGTGAAATATTATAGAGCATATTTAATAAAAAATCGAAGTATATATGACATCCCAAAAATATCGCGAAAAAGAGACAGAAGACAATAAATAAATTTTTTTCTTGAATAATATTACCTTCATATTGTTAAAAACAATCGCAATATTACGTGCGTATTCCGAATTGATGATAATTGATGTTTACATCGCTAAATACTATTACCGTTATTTTACTCATCTATCACCTTTACCGGGACCTCTTCCAATTCCATTATTTGGCAACCTTATCAGATGGGCACCAATCCCAAAAAGTTTCCAATGCGAATGCAAGTGAAGTACGTATATGCAGGATCAGATCAAAACATTTATCTTGCCATGCAGATTTTGTAGAGCAAATGAATCGTGCTTCCAAAGATACCAACTTTTTAATAGAGTAGGTTGATATCTTCAACTTTACTTATAAAATCGCTCTATAAATTATCTTCTTTTTTAACATGTCATTTATGATTTAATTTAAATTGGGGTTCTCAAAATGAAGGATTACAAAATCGCAGAATTGCTTTCAACCTAGACATTCCTTCGTGGCATTTTTATAGGGAAATTTTATCTCAAACGATAACTTCGCCAAATTTTTTAAATGATTTTATCGACAAAATAAAGTTTGTTTCAAGAAGCAGAAACTTACTGGAATAAACTTGGCTCTGGTGCAGTAATTGATTTCGTAGAATGGATGACGCGTTACAATACTGACCTTACATTAAAAACAGCAACCGAAAAAAAATTTCACGCTTTAATGATGTTCTATAATTCTATTGTGGCAAATGATAAACAGGACAGGTTGAGCTTAAAGGAATCTCCGCAAATGAAGCCAAAAATTTCATCAACAAAATGAAGATGTAGATATGGATAATACAATATTTTTATTTTTTCCCACATGCAGTAAGACATTATGTTCCTGGATTCCATCAATACACGAAAAATTATATAAATGACATCAAAGAGTTTGATAAAAAAATTAACGAAATAATTGAAAAACGACGACAAGAGATTGAGAAATTACCAATCAAAACACCACCATTACAGAATGATATTCTGTCAAGATTATTAGTAATTAATACAACACG